CTATGCTTTCCGCTGTCCGACAATCCCTCGTGTTCTATATGTTTATGTGCGATACCGGGCCTGTTCGTGTAACCATTGCCATCGCAATCACATCGTCGGCATCTTTTCCTTGTAATCGTGTTTTAGCTACTGCCACGGTTGTAACAGCAAATGTCAGGATCTCGACGTCGTGTGAAGTCTCGCTATTTGTCAGAAGCTAAACTTTCACGAGCTCATTGTTGTATGGTCAAAAAGACATATGGTCCTCCTTGTTGAAACCATTTCCGCGAGGGCCTGCATGTGTGCTACGGAGCAGGCTAGGTTTCAGCTTGAGCCCGTCGTCACGTATGATCGTGGTGGGGCGACCGGCCGTGGACGGACACGCGGTAGGATTTGCCGACGAGGGTCCGCTCGCCTTGCGAAAATACGTGAATCACGCAAAATCAATTTGGCCGCGTTGAGGTTAGAACTAACGGTGCTCATGGCCGACTGCTAATGCCAATGCCATTCAGCTATCAGGTCTTTTGGGTTCATCCTACATTTGGTTTATATTGCTCCAATGCATGGGGAAAGATCAATTCTGGTGTTCTATTGGTTGCAAGCACCTGTCAACTTCCCTTCGTTCTCCCGACATATGACGCCTTGCTCAAGGTTGATCCACGTCCGCTTGTACGATATGTATACGCCGATCTCTTCCCTTCCAATACGAGCTTACTCTGTTGCTCCAGCTCGCGAAGTCACATTCTACCTACATTGAGCCGAAGTGGCAGTGGCGGTCGTTGGTAACATCGATAGTAAGCCCCCGTTACACTCCCAGACTGGCATGCACAATGACTTGCCGCTCATCTAGTTTCGTACGACCAAACCCGCTTTTCTTACGAACGGTCGCCACGTCCCCGCGCGGAAGGCATGGATTTGACAGGCCGCCAATCTCGTGATTTGGAGATACAGCACGGCCACAGCGACTCTGAGGACACTGTCAGTGAATTGCGGTCCAACCTGAAGCAGTTTGCCTACGTTCCGACGCCATCGGTTGCCCCAAACGCCACAGCGAAGAAGACCACGCACCGAAATCTGACTGCCCGAACGTCTCCGCAGAAGAAAGCCGTCATGCATGGCCGCCCGGCTCATACTGGTATACTTGGCAACATCAAAGCGAGGCGACTTACTGCTCTTCCTATGTGTGTCTGCTGCAATCGGAAGTGGACCACCTACAAGTCACCCGCAAAGAAGGTCTATCACTTGACCAAGTGCGCCGAATCCTATGACGTTCCGACTTCAGCAGTACAAGTTCGCATTCGGATGGCACTCGACAAGGCACCCACGTCTGTCGCCAACTCTGGCACAAGCCGTGCGTCGGCCGTTTCCACCCTTTTGGAAGATGTAGTCGAACACGCTTCGCGGGCGAGGCGCACACGCTCTACTGTGACGCCAATCACTATCCAAAGCCCTGCCTTCACACATGAGGATATTATTCATCGCGCACGCGCTATGCTACGACCAGAATGCGCCGTTGCTTCGGACGCTTCAAATGCTCACTGTCAAAATCTTCCCATGTCACACGGACCCCCATCAGCCTCGAGCGAAGACGCTCGAGCGACCGGCAAGAGCGTCTCAACTGGGGAAAACCATTCCTTTGTCTTTGCGGTTCAGAATGCATCTTCAGAGCTCCCCCCATTGACACCGTCATTCGGGGTCTCGAAGCTGGGTCAAATGTTTGCACGGAAGCCAGCCGACAGTGTACACGTCGTCTCTTCACACCGTATGTTGACATACACAGGCCGTCTATAGGTTTCGACTGAGATTCTATAGGTGTCACCAGAGGTTTCTTCGAGCAATGAGGCCAACGTTGGCGCCCGGCAAGGTATTCGACGAACGATGACACCCGTGTCGCCTGCCGCTTGCCGACCCACCCCCTTCCAACGTCTCATTGACATGCTTTGATACTATCTATACACTCCCCACGTAGCCTGGTATAGGGAGATACGACCACACATACGGCTGTTGTGGGTCAACCGCGCCGAGACGCAGTGTTGTTCCGCACGGTGCTTTGCTCTCGTCGACTTAGCGCAGTTTCGATACTGCCATAGTCTGGTTCATATAACGCAATCAATTCATTGAGCAACGGGGATATCAGCAAGCGGCTCCGATGAGCGTTCCAGTCGAAATTTAGTAGAATAAAGAGTATGGACCAACGCGTAGATGGTCGTAAAGGAGGAAGACATGTGGTCAATATTTGATACTTGATGATGACAATTGGACGAGACAGCCGACGGAACAGACACCGATCCGGCTGTTCCGACGGTACAGTCAGAACACAGAAGACCCGGCCATCCGCTAAACGACGATCTACGAGAGACTGAGCGAAACACAGACCCACTGCTAGCATAGCGGCAATATACCTGCGTAAACTCATTAGGGACTCGGTATTCACCTAGTCTATGCTGAGTCCCGAAGCTTGGCACTCTTCTTCCTGCGATCGTCGCGCGAGTCAGCTATGCTCATGTAAGACTTCGATCTAAAAACAACACGTACCATTTCCGCGTCGACTTCTTGCGCCCCTCGCGAGCACCGTCTTCAACATGGCTTGCCCTTGGCTCCTCAGCCCTCCGCAGCGCTGCTTGTTGCACCAAGACGCGAAGAACGCTCACAATATCGATCGCGAGATCCGACCAATGTGTACGTTCTCCGTCTTCTCTGATGTTCCAAGCCCACAGTAATGTTGTGACGACAAGCAAGCGCGCACCATCTAACCCGGGTGCCAGAGCGTTCTTCCACTCCATAGTCGTGGCGGCCGGAAGGTGTATGCGCCCTTGCTGATCCCGACGTTCAGATGGCTGCTGTAGAGCCCATTGTTGAGGTAGCGTGATGTTGATGTCCGCGTCTAACTTTGCCGGCGTCCTGTTATCGCCACTCGCCACTCTAGAGTTCCACCGCGAAGCGAAGTCACGCAGACAAAGGCCTGCCATATACCTCGGCTGTTCGATATTGTCAGTGCCGCGCGGCTCCCCCACCACTCTCATCGTGAGAGGTGCTTCATCCTACCAGGTCATGAGTTCCAGTGCAAGTGCTTCCTGAATCGACATATGAACATACCAACTGACAAGCCTCGAAGTCTAGATATGCCAAACTGAGATCGCATGCAATGCTCACGTCTACTCGACCGGTCAACTTGACCGGCACCGCCTTGAGGAAGTTCACGGTGTTGGATTCTTCCAACCACACCTTACGAGGTAGAATTCGCGCAATCGCTGCACGGAATGCCCGAGAGTATTCAGCCTTACAACTGGTAAACAATAGCCTGCATCAACGATCTTGTTATCTGCACGCACCGTATCTCTATCTGAAGGAATGTAGTTTGCCGAGACAGCGAACGCAAACGAGTCGCTTCTCAAAGTCTTCTGCGCCGAGGCAAGCACACTGCCTATTCCATCTATCTGGTACACAGTGTTCGTCAGCCACGGGTACCTCTCATATTCGTTGATCAACTCACATCGACGATACGGGACTCGGAATGTGGGTCAACCACAGCCGTTCCGAGAGCGGATGGCGATCTTGAGGCTGTGTAAATGGTGTCAGCGTTCATGACTATTGGTACGATAGAGAAGTCATACTGAAATCTAGGGAGAGTTTCGCGTGACCGTTGTTGGTGACGGGTAATGGAAGCAGAAATTCGACATCGCCTATATCTCCCGCACCATCGTCAGCTTCGTTCTCCGACCTTTCACCGTCGGTGTTCTCTTCTTCCTCGTTCTCGCGACCACCGCCACCGTAGGCTTTACGTTCACCGGTAATCTGACAGGCATCACTCTCGTCCACGACGACATGGTGATCCTTGGCGATAGACGCTTCGGCCCACTTTGCCTCTGTACTGCCAGTCAGAGAGCAACTCGACGATCCTGAGAAGTCAAGCCCGCTTACCGTTCAGGATCTGTGCCTGTTTCGCCATGGAATACTTGAAATCTGTACATCCTACGGGGTTGACCTCTGTGTAAAGTAACTTCGGCCGTTCAGGGACGTTGCATACACCCTCAGAACTAAGTGTTACGTGAGTACATATACCACGAAAAGAGAGTGCAAACAACTGACATCAAGCTTGCGCCATCAGGGCCACTCAAGAACATGATGGCCACCCCAGATGCACGATTGGCAAAAAAATGCATCAAATCGCTCAGAAACGACTGCGACGCCCTCATGAACCTAAGAATGCTATTATCAACACACGCCACGGACATATCGAGGGCGTCTCACTCGATCGCCTCTTCGGGGGACTGAGGTTCGTGGGATGCGCTCGCTTCCCATTCATCCATGGCCTGCCTGTGAAGCCGCTTGGCATCCTTGCGCGCCCTTTTTTTTTCCTTCTTGCTCGCATTGCTGTACCATTCGGATGCAACAGCATTCCAAGTCGCAATGCGGGGAGGAGGAGGTATATCCGGTCCGGTCGCCTGCACCTTGGCAGCATGGCGCGTGTCTACTTCTGCTTCAAGATCAGGGCGTGGTTGGGCAGTCGCCCATACTTTGTAAGACTGCTTTCGACGGGGCTTACGCCCATACAGCTTGATAAGCTCCAAAATATTGGCTGAAGGTCTGCCAATCACTTCCACGTTCGCAGCCAGGTTCTCCCGCCAGACCTTCAATACCTCCTAGTTGACGCATGGACAGATGAGCATATAAATCTGTATTTGGTTCTCAGCATAAAGGCTTACCCTGCGAACCTTCTTGAATAAGGCGTCCCTGCGCTTCTGCTCTTCGTCGGTGACCGGGCTACTCTCGATAGTATCGCTGGCCTCCTTCACGGTGACCGCACGTAAAGGATCCTCCCATCCGAAGTACACTATTATCTTCCGAGCCTCTCTATCGACAGCGCTGGATATCTCGCCTTGTGCTGCGCGTCCGGCCTTGAGAGACCTGTACTCGTCGATATCCTCTAGCATCATGCGCCTTTGAAGAGCACCCGCGTTGGGCGGACGACCGCGCGCTCGCTTAACGCCTTGAAGCACAGGCATGCGGTGGCTGACTCTCGAGTGGGATGGCATAAGCGGAGAGCGAGGAGCGAAGAAGCTGGCGAGGCCTTGGTTGGTTCGGGACGTAGTTGATGAAAGTTATGACGGAGAGCGGCAGTGTATATAAGTTACCAATGCCCGCTGTCCACCCGCCCGACGCGCGTCTCATCCATTACTACGCACTTCCAATCAGCACCAGCGCTGCATGCTTGACGCTGCTGGACCGCCATCACGCTAGTGCAACTCGTGGCTTTTCCTCCGGCACACCGCCTTGACAAGATCACGCAATTTCTCGACAACGACCCACCATAAGCTATGAAGAGTCTCGGGCATGTTCACCTGGCTCGTCGCTCTACTTGCTTCAAGCTCTTACCGTGCCCCACCACGGCGCAGCCGATGCGAGAAATCTCAATGCCGCGTCCGGCTCACACTCTGACCGGTGGTAACAGCTTAGATCGGCAGTAGATGCGCATCGTTCGCGCCGGCGATTATAGCCGCTATCGGAGGTGTGGGTACTCTGCGAACTCAGGGGGGATCTTGCTCTCGGCTGAGATGCCCACACAGCCTGGCGAATGCCGGCGGCGAGAGGGTCGTGAGTGGCAGATCATTGTATGCCACAGTGCCATCTCTTTTGAGCGCCGATGCGAGCGCATGCTCTTAGGGATACGT